CAACTTTGCAGGAATGAAGGACAAATGCTTGTTGAATGAGTCTTGGTAAGCTGTCTTGGCAAGGGGACAGGAGTGTTCGAAAAACTTCTCTTTAGATTTATAATGGTTGATTTTGAAAGTCTGCTGGTATACAGCTTGTTCGTAAATCACAAGTTACTATGTGGAATGAACATATCTGTAAGTTACTGGTAGGAATTGTAACAGACGTCTTCAGCCCATCTCCTGGGACAACTGAACACAACTTTTAGCTAATGTGCTGGAAAGGAAGGTCTCCATCTGATTAGTAATGGCTTATTTGAAGGTAGTCTTATCTTCTACCTACTGTTCTTGTTGGACAGAAAATAATATTTTGAAATCACACTTTTTTTTTAAATCCACTTGCTAGATCCATGTGTCGTGTCTTTGAACTGTCTTATTCCTAGTAAAGGGAGAATAAAGTGAGTCCCTCCTTGGCAGCAGTTAGTAAAATTTGAAATTATGCTTTCAGTCACTTTGCAAAGTTAGGCATGATTTCAGATGTGCTCCAAATAAGTTAGGGAACTCTGGAGTAGAAATGGTATGTGGATATCAAAGAAGCAGCAAAGCATGTCAGCACAAAAGGAAAGAAGTTGGAGATTGCAGGTGTAGGACTTGTCAGAAATGAAGTGGAAAAGAATAGGCAGAGTGGAGAATGATTGACACCCTGTGGGACAGATGGGCATGTTTTTGTAGTTTGCTCAGGTTCCATTTTTGCCTGCTTTATGCAAAGACACAAATAATTGGCTGGAGTAAATGGATATGAATCTGATGATTTCAATGTACCTGGACTGCTTCATGCCTGGTGGGGAGCTGGTCTGTATGTGAGACAGTTACCTAATGGAACTAGAAATAGTTCAAAAGCTGCTTGGATCAATTTTTGCCCTTTGAGCTTCTGATAAAAACAAAGTAGAATTAAAATTAAATAGCTAGATTTTCGTGGTTGCATTGTATAGTTTTGCTGCTAGTGGTATGTGGATGCCTGGAGATGTTTTACTTTCTATTATTAGGACAACTTGGGTCTTTATCCCATGATGTTGTGTGGTGTCAAAACTGCCTCTGCTTGTTGGAGAGGATGCTGGAATTCTTGGGGCCTATTCAGGAGTGTACTGTGTATGTTATGAGGGACATGGTGGTCTCATTTGAATAAACTATTCATAGATAAGATCAGCCATGGTAACTAGCCAACTTCATTGCAAAATCCAAAATTATGTGCACCTGCATTCTGCAGATTAGGCCACAGATGTCAAAAACATCACTTGTAGTTCACAATCTCCCAGTTGCCAGCTACCAACTTGGGAATGAATTTTCTCTAAAAGACAGCTTTCAGAGCTGCAGTGAATTTGTCTTAAGTTTGAGGATATTTAGAGTCAAACTATTAAACAGGTTTTAAAAAGTCATCCTGTTTTGGTTTTTCACCCTATGTAAGGGAGGGGAGAAAGCCCTATTTAGTTTGTCTGGACTGTGAAACTGGAATGCATTAATGCCATTATGTTTTATAAGCTTGGTATTTGATACTTCAGAACACTTTTAAGAGGAAAGAAAAAGTGCTGAAACACTCAGGTAAACAATCAAAATGCAGTATGGAGTATGTGAATCTACATCATAACATTAGGCTTTAGTAAAATTTGTAATGCATCTTCTTTGGGGTGGGCTATTTGGCAACTACTTTTTAACATTTGGCATATATGTAATATTTTACATTTTCTAATTAACAAAGCAAAAATAGCAAGGTGAAGTCATCCCACTGAAATCACATTTTGATGCAAACATAAAAATAGCAGTATGTGGAGTGAGGAAGAGAAGGATTGACAGTCCTGTTAAAAACAAACTGGTAAATGTTTATATTAAAGACCCTGTTTTTACTGGAACTGAATTGTGAAATGACAGACAAAAAAGATAGTTGTATGCACACACCTCTCCAGCCAGCATGGTGTATAGGTGGTTGTTCCAAGTCAAGGCTGTAAAAGGACTGGCATGATCTTTGGAAATCAATGAGGGAGGATGGGAGAAGTAATCGAGGCTGATTGTTCATGAACAGGAGAAAAATTGTTTGTCTTCGCTGCACTTCAGCAGAAATTTGTGAAGAGAATCACTTGAGCCAAGGGTTGAATTGCAAAAGAGAATGCTGCAACAATGATGACCTCTTAAATGCTGCCGTGTAGTGGTGGTGTGTTATGCAGTGTGGTCTACTGGGTGGTAGTAGAGTGTTCAATCTGTAAAGGCCAGTTAAAATTGCCAGGAGGGACATAGTCACCTTAGCAGTAACATGTTTATATTATCTTTTTCTTATAGTACAGGCTCGATTGTGTGCACGTTTGTCTGCTCATCAATTGGACAAAGATCTGAGTGAGTCTCCCTTCTGCCTGGGCTCCTAATGTATTTGTACTACAGAGAATACCAGGAATGTTTGTTCTACCAGCTATGTGGTGAAGCATCCAGTTTCAGTCATGTAGTTGTGAGTGTGGTAGCACTACAGTAGAGGCTGCGTGGAAATGCTTTGCACTTCTGTTTTATGTTCAGGAGAGGAACCAGATATGCCTGTCTGCAGTCCTGTATCCTCAGATGAAGAGACTAGAAAGCATGCTTCCATTTGTGAATCTGCTTTATCTGTGGGAAATTCACAACCATCCTTTTTTCTTTTCTTAATAGTGCAGATATGCATAATCCGTGCTGATTTTTTTGCTGCTTAGTTATCTCCTGTGAAACAGAACTTGAAGGTGTTCTTAGTCAGACAGCTAGCTATAAAACACAATGTGTAGCCACACCATCTGGTTTTGTAATAATGTCCTATGTCATGCCAAGCGAGATTAGACTCTTAAGCTGGAACAGGAGATCTGCAGGTAATAGTTAAGTGTGCCAGTTAACAGCATTGCCAGTGCTTCCTTTCCAACTGAAAGAACGAGCGTGTGCTGGAAGGGTCAGTGCTGCTGGCAGGACTGTCCTCCAGTGGAGGTGTGCAAACAAGGTCTGATCATGCAGTCACTTTGGCAAGCGGGGGGGGAAAAAAGGAAATTCCAACTTAGAGATTGTATCATGGCTAATTAGGAAAAAAATACTGCTTTTTTAAATTCAGTGTCAATTTTATTCAAGAAAGTCTTTTCATTCTGTGAGTAACAATCTTGCTTTTTATACAAGCTCATAATAGGTCCACCTGAGATCAAAGCTCTGTGTGCTAAGAGTATTGTTCACAAACCCCAAAAACAAATTACAGTTTAAAGATGAGTGACATACGATCAGAAGGGACACAAGGTCATGGAGAGGTGACGTGATTGACTTGTAGTCAATCATGAGTCAGTGGCAGAGTTGATGTAGACACTCTTGCTTTGTAGCCCAGTGCCTAAGCTGCAGGCATCTGTGGTGAATACTATTGCTATGAGCAATGACTTTCCAAAGAAGGGTTTGTTTTCCATGATTTCAGAAGACTTCTGAAATCTTTCTTGGGAAGTAATGTGATGTGTTTAAAATGAAATTGTGTTGGCAAACTGGAAGCTGAGTCTCTGGAGTAATCAGTTGTGTAAAGTACTCAGCTTGAAAGCTTTGGTCTATGTCTTTATCAAAGCTATTTATAGTGTTGCCATTTTTTTTTTTTTGCATCTAGATACGGTTAGATGGAAATCATTTCTATTGCCATGCAATGTGAATTCAGTTGATCTGAGAACCTAGTCTGGCTTTCTAATTCAGTGCTGGTATTAGTGATTCTGTTGTTGAAGTTCATGTGATCTGTGAAGTAGAATATAGGATGTTCAGGGGTCCAGTAGAATTTTCAACTGATGTGATTTCCATGCCTAGTAGAACAGAGATTCAAGCTTGATCACTCTATGGCACTGCTGAAAGATTCTGAAGATCAGATTTTGCAGTTTCTGCATTGAAAATCTTTCAGTCAGTGGATTCATGGGAAAAGGAGGAAGGTGCTAGTCCCTGTGTCAGTCCCATGGAAACAGATGCTTGCTGTTTTCCTTCTCTTTCTAGACTGAGCAGCAGTACTGTTAGACAGGATGTTTTAAAATGTAAACATGGAATCAATCTGTATCTCTGCAGCACAGAACTCTTCTCTTTGACCCATCAGTCATCAGTGTTAGGCTTATCTGGGTCTACGCTTTGTAACAGTGAGCTGGACCTGGAAGGAGTTAAGGTCAGGCTACATGCTGCCATCATCTGAAATAAGTGCAGAGCTGAGCTCTTAACCCCTTCAAGCTCTGCTTGCAGAACAATGCTTTTTCTTGGCAGTGAGTAACTAATATGAGAGTGTAATGCACACCTGGCTGTAAGTGTTGGGACTAGAGTTAGAAGCTGGGTTTCAGGAAAGCACAGGTTGTGGCATGTCTACCTTATCTGAACCACACAAAGGTGGAAGTTCAGATGGGTGGCTGGTTATTTTAGTACCTTACTGGGAGAGGTGCTCAGAGAAGAAGCTTTGCTGGGTCTATCTCTTCTTCCACATTGCTTGTTTCTGGGCCTGAATTACTTGGTTTATGCTTAGCTGTCTAGTTTCAGACTGTTAATATTAACACAAACACAACTCCCTCCAGGAAGGCCTTTCACTGCATGGACATTGTGCTCCAGCAGTTGTTGGAAGAAGCTTCCAGAACCCTTGAATAACCATGAAAACTATGGCCTAGGAAACTAGGCAGCTCATTAGTTGGCTCATAGTTTGATTGTCTAGGTTCATGTTTGTCTTTGGGATCATGAGTGTTAACTCCATAGCTGCTTCACTAATGTGTAGGTAATGGTCCTTGATGCCTTATATTTGTTTGTTTGTTTTTTTTCCCCTCTGCAGCTGTGTGGTCCATCTGACAGCTTTTGAAGAGGCTAAATGGTGTTTGCAGTCTAAGTGGGTTTCGCTTTTCTCTTTGTAGATGCTGGCCAAAGCAAGTGTCGATCAGAGAGAGCTCAAGCACTGGAACAGGCAAAGAAGCCCCAGGAAGCAGTCTTCATCCCAGAATGCAATGAGGATGGATCATTCACGCAGGTAAAACTTCTGATGGATTCCTTCAGCCAGGCTTCAGCAGCTTCCTTCCAGTGACTGCAGGAGATTTGCTGTTAAGGCATGTGCCAAGTGATGATAGCAGCATGTGTGCACTCTCTGACTTTATTACTCAGGTTAAAGTGTTGAAAGCTGTGGACTTGTTTAACCATCTGGAAGCTTTGATTCAGTCACCATACCACCTCCAATGTAGCACAAAAACAAATGGCATCAACCTCCAGCATAGCACAGAAACAAATAAAAAACTGCGACAAGTTGCAGGGGAGGTCAATTTTTCCCTGAAGATGAGCTGCAAATAGAGCTGTGGCTCACATAGAACAGGATGGACCAAGCTTCTTCTGCTGTTACCTGTGCTTCATCTATCCTAGCAAAAGAATGGTCTATTGAGCCTCTTCCTTCTGCAGACTACTTGTTGGTGACGGACTCCTCTTTCCTTTGCTGTGCCCTGTTGTGATTTGGGGGTCTGACAGAGAGGTGATGAGGCTGCTTTGTTTAGGTTTTTGATTCTTCACTGTTCACTTGCTGGAACTAAATGATGTGCTGGAATTGTAGACATCTTCATAATGCTGCTTCTCTTGAGAAGCAGTTATCTCAGGCAGAGGAGGCTTATGGTTTGCCCGTCTTTAATGTCTGTGAAAAAATGAATAGTCAGTCCTGGTCACTGAGCATCCTTCAGAAGCAGTTGGACTGAGAGAGATCCTACAGAATTCCAGAGAGGTTGAAGCAGCTATGGCAAAAAAAGCCCTCATGAAGGAGATTGTAAGAGGAGGAGTAGTTTGCTGAGGCAGGGTAGAAGTGAAGCGATACTTGATTCTGTTACCACTAGCATATTGAGTAGTGTCCCAGTGCTAACTGAACTGAGTGTTAAAAATAGCTCATCTGCAGCTCCCTAACAGGTAGGAGGGGTATGCTGTCTGCCTAGTTTGGCATGCATCCCAAAAGCCAAAATCCTGCAACCCTGATGACCCCTACTTTGTGAACTTAGGTAAATCACACAAATTTTTTTGCCTTAGCTTCCCTATATCTATCACTGCTTTAGAGATCTTATGCCTCAGAAATTTTAGGTTTCAGTAGTTATTGTTAGCAAAGTCTTTTGAAGGTAAAAAATAATCCAAAATATAATCAATATTGGCTTCAAAAAGATGAGAAACAAAAAGCTTTGAGTTTGTTTCAAATGCTTTGTGATGCCTGGGGGAAGAGGAGAGGAAAGATTTTTTTTTTTTCGTGATAACCCACCAAAAATTTTTATTCCCCCCTGCTCAGTCTTACCTTCCCATTATCGGGTGTGTGGGAGTGTTTTTGTTATGTTTTTGGGTTTTAATGGTGAAGTGGGAAAAGTTTCATCCATCCTGCCAACTTTGCATAGTTCTTTGGAGCAGCATCACATTTGTGTACAGTGTGGACCATCTTGGGAAGGTGGGGGTAAGAGAGAAGGTGGCTGCAGTTTCTTGCGATCTAATTACATTCTTAATTGCTGAAATCTGATTTTGTGTAGAGCTGCTCAGGTTATGTTGGCACTGGAGGGGAATACTTGTAAAACCTAGCACAGTGGGCCAACTAAGTGTTCCATGATAAACTTTATAGCTCCAGAAAAAAGGGGGAAGGAAAGCTGACTTTCCAGTGTTTCTGTCAACTGTCCATCTACTTGGAGAGTAAAGTAGAAGGTACAGTTGAAATTTTTATCCTCATAAGCTGGACTGAGAATGCAGTCGATAAAGCTTTGTTTCAGACAGGTTTCTTTGGAAGGTTGGTACTGGTGTCTGGATTGCGGAGCTGTTGCTGAGCCTCTTTCCTGCATGGTCAGAGTTGCCAGTGGAGGGGCAGCATGAAACTGCTTACAAAAACTGTGTTTTCAGCTGGCAGCCAAGTGGTATTTCACATTCTTCCTCCATTCAGCCTTATCTGTGAACACTAAAATGCTTTTGTTTTCCCTGGCATGATGAAGGAAGCCTCTGATCCCTTTGTAGCTGGAATTAACTGCAATTCATATCGTTCCTTGGATCATAAAAATACCCCACGCTCCACATACCTCAGGATCCAGCTTCATCATTTATTATATGCAGCATTTAAGGTCATTGTCCCTGCATAAGATATGAATGGAAAACAGCATCTGAGGAAGCTAACTGTTTTTATTTAACCTGCATTGGAGACAAATATTTCCTTTAGCTTCTGGTCCAAATTAATGAAACTTTGATTTTTAAAGGATGTATAAAAATTAGAATTTTGGTGAACTGTCTAAACTGGTTTTGCTTCCAGCAACTCATTAATAGATCTCATCTGGTGAAGGTGGTTTGGATACTGCATCTCTTGTGCAAAGAGTGGGCACTCCCAAGTTCAGCTTCACAGGGAAGCGATGTAGGACAGTTCTTGAGGTCTCTGAGGCCTTGCTGAAGTCAGCTCTGAACCATTATTAGTTTATTCTGGTTCATTACTCAGAGTTGCTCCATTTGATTTTTGAATCTCAGTTGGCAAGTCCAGAACAGAGCAGCATCTCTTAATGAAGTTCCTAGGATAAATACCCAGCATGCTCTTCAACTTCAAATCGCCATCCCACCAAGAATCTAAGCAGATGCATGTGCTTCAGGATATACTCTCTATGTAGAGTTGACTAGGGACATTTTTTCAACAACTTCCCACATTCTATGGAACTGTTATTGGAGGAATATTTTGGGTAGAAGAAGAAATCTGATCAGAGAGGATGCAAAGATGCATGCATATATGTGGAATATCAAATGTCTTAATTGTTATAGCACTCACTCAAGATGTAGATGACTTGCTTTCACGTCTTGAGCTGAGCCTCTTTTTTGTAGGTGCATACACAGTAAGTGTTCAGGCCCACATCATCATCATCCTTGCCATCAGACTTCAAAAGATCTGGGATTTTGTCTAATTAATTGGTGGAAATACTTGAAAGTTTTGTAGGAGTGAAAAACATGAACAGATTTAGGAGCTACATTTGGTAGTGGTAACACTATATTCACAGAACCTGCTTGGTCTTAACCAGATGGAGCTGTTGCTTTTGTGGTTTATCATCATCTTGATTAAAAACTAAATTGCAATCACTGTGGGTAAACACTGAAAGCAGCCCTAAGTGGGACTGTTTCTCTGAAAGCAGCTCAAGTCTGCCCTTTCCAGCTCCTGGAACTGCACACAGTACAAAACTGTGTGAATGTGGGGCTGGATCCACCACAAATGGGATGGGGCTGTAGGGTGACGAAAAGAACATAGCTACTCTGCTGCTATGTGACTGACAGCACGTGCTGCACGATGCAGCGGCTGCAGAGGGGTGGCTGTGCTTGCCTTATCTCCTCCTGCTTCCCTGAAGGGCAACTGGCTCTGAGACCCAATGGTTAGATGTGGTAACAAGAGTGAAAGAGAGGAGGGCCGGAAGGCAAAGACCTTGGTTTGGCTTGTGTTTAAACCTTGCCTTAGAGAGCCATCCTGTATATCTTAGACTTGTATAATCTGCCTTTTTTTCATTGTCTGTAAAATCTAGACTGAAAAGAAGTGTTGCCACTGATTCTATTGCTTGGACAGCCAGTTGCCCTTGGCATGGTTAGCTATAATGGGTTTTGTGTACTGCATGAAGAGGAGCAGGCACCTGTCAATTCACTGGTTTTCATAACTGTTTCTATGCACCATGTGTGCTGTTTCCCTTATTCTGGAAGTTTGTGAATTGCAAAGATCTTACCAAATCTCTTTTTAGCACTACTTACACATCTGAAAAATGTAGTGTGGATTTATAGCATGGAAGAATAGGCAGTGGCATTGCAGGCATGATGGGATGACTGTAAATGACCTGATGAATTGCTCTGGAATTGCTATCTTTGTTTCAGACTGTGTGTGGAATATTACTTCCTATAACAAAAGCTCTCTGCATTTAGCCCACAGTAATGTAAGCATGCAGATAAAATTTGAGTTATTCACAACATTCTTATGTTTGATATGAGTAATTTAATTAGCTGTATAAAACTGAGGTTGGGTACTGTTGTGCAAAATTGGACATGACTAAAACCAGTTTCTGTTCCCAAGACTTGCTCGCTCCTTTTTGCTGTTATGCTGTATTTTGCATAAATGCCATTCCCTTTCCATGCTGCACTTAACCTGCTGTGATCTGTTCTTCATAAACAACAGGCTCTATTGGGTTATCTACACTTTGTTTTGCTGCCTAATGCCATGGGGCTTGTTGCCATGGGCTGAGAGAGATTTGCATTCTTCATAGCTTTCCCCCAAGCAGTTTTTTAGAAAAGGTTGCTGAGATTTTAAATGGGATCCATTTCATACAGGTTAATATGAACATGAATAATGTTAACCCTGCTTTGGGGGTGTAGTCTTGTGGGACTTTGTGGTGTGTCTTGCTATTTGCCACCACTTTCCACTATCTAGCTGTGGTTTCTTTTCCTTGCAAGTCTGCATACAAGTGGCTGAGAGCAAGTCTCCTTGGAGAGTATCTTTGAGTTCAGGGTGCTCAAAACTGCAGCTGCTGGTGCAGTTATGCAGCACTGATATTTCTCTTAAAGCGAGTGCATCAGTCAAACCTGTCATTTTACAATGGGATCAGTGAGGGAGCCGACTTTGTCAGTGCAGTTTTCTGTTATTGGATAGCTGCCAGAACACTCCTGCATCTAGTAATACAAGTCTGTTTCAGAAGAGTGCTCTATATTATGGTCCGCAGTAATAGTTTCATTCTGTGCTATTCTAATGTGTGTACAAAGTACTGCTTTCTCCTGAGTCCCTCAAACAGACCACTTTCTAAAGCCCTTTCTAAAGATGTGGGGAACTCTCGCAGCCTTCAAGGGTGACTTCATGATCCAAGTCTGTTCCTCTGCATTGGCTAGTGTAGCATGATGCTGGGCAGAATTACAAACTCATTTCTTAATGCAGCACAGTGCTGTAGGGCACTGTGTAGACATGTCCCACGTTCCCTGGGTGCTATTATTCCATTATTTAGTGCTCATACTCTAGCAATACTAAGCTCTCAAGGA